TTTTTGTAAATTTCCATGTGATATCATGGTCATGTTCCTAATCTTGGTTCTTGATAATCTCTTTACAGCTATAGGGGGAGAGTATGTTTCAGTGAAATCTGCTGGGAATCTCTCTGCTTTGTTTGATGTTGGAGGTATAGTTGGTGGAATTCTAGCTGGACATCTATCCGACAAGCTTGATGCTCGTGCTACTACAGCAGCCAGCTTCATGTATGCAGCAATTCCTTCTATGCTTTTGTATCGCAAATATGGAAGTGCATCAAAGCTCATGAACATTTTGCTCATGATGATAGCTGGGTTGTTTGTCAATGGACCTTATGCGCTTATAACAACTGCAGTGTCAGCAGATCTGGGTACTCACAGCTCCTTGAGAGGAGATTCTCGAGCACTAGCAACAGTTACTGCCATTATTGATGGTACTGGATCTATGGGTGCTGCTCTAGGTCCTCTTTTGACAGGTTTTCTTTCAACAAAAGGATGGGATGCAGTTTTTATAATGCTTGTTGTTGGTGCACTTAGTGCTGGTCTTCTTTTATCTCGTTTGGTCGTTTCTGAACTGAGCGAGAAGTTCTCTAAACAGCTACCCTATGGACAACACAACAGCGGAGGTAACATTTGTCTCCATTTGTGTCTCTGTTTTCCATTTTGTCTTTGTTCCACCATGCTTATTTCATTGGCATGCTGATTTTAAAATTGGAGCAGCAGGACAAAATGAATTAGACGCTTTTTGTTTTTTAATCCAGTTCACAGCAAGAAAAGTAGCTTGCAGTAGTGTTTTATTGATATGTCTTGCTATGTTACCCTTACTCCAAGAAACAAGAAACAAGTAACACTGAATATTTCTATCATGTTGCCGTCTAAACTTGGTAACAATCTTTATTATCTGCTAGTGGTTTATTGTTGTCAAGTAAGGGGCAGCAGACTGTAGTGTTGATAAAGGTAAAGGAGGAATTTACATCTGTTCTAAGCAGAAGCTATGTCTGGCACTTTCAAACTCAAATGTACCAAGTGTATCCTTATTAGTTTTTTAGTTGGATTAGTTATTGACAGAAGATGCCTCTTTTTATCTTCTGAACAGGCCTACAAAGTCAAAATCTTTTATCCTTTTATATGAGTTTCTGTAGATAAAAATTCTAGTCTAGATGTTATAGCTTTATCCTTCTATAAAAAAAAAAAAAAGGCAGCCCGGTGCACTAAGCTCCCGCTATGCGCAGGGTCCGGGGAAGGACCGGACCACAAGGGTCTATTGTATGCAGTCTTGCCTGCATTTCTGCAATAGGCTATTTCCACGGCTCGAACCCGTGACCTCCTGGTCTCATGGCAACAACTTTACCAGTTACGCCAAGGCTCCCCTTCTCTTTATCCTATATAACTGATTAAAAATAAATCCTATATTAGATAATTTCTTGTTCCCTGGTATTCATGTTCAGAGCATATAGACTCCTTGAGTAAATCCTGAAGCTAGTGGAGTTTGAGACTTAAATATTAAATTTAGTAGGTCATAATCATGCTGTAGATCCCTATGCATGTGCGATGTATTGGGTCAGTAATATGCTATAGCATTTGCTGTGAAGAATGGAAATTTAAACACCACCTTGATTCTTGTGCTCTTACTCCAGAGCAGTAGTTCAGTCTGAGTTCTGTATACTGATGTACTCCTATATGATTATTATTTGCATGGGCTGAAGAAATTATCTTACCAATCAAACAATGATTATTACTTCTCCTTTTGTCTATGTTTTATCCAATCCCCTTCTATCTCACAATTAATTACCTATTTGTTCAATGTGAAAGTTACCACGCCTAATTGACTCCAGCTTCAAATGAATTGAGCTCCTCCTTCATGTGTATCGTGGACGCACATGAGGAAATGAAAATACAAGTATTATTTTCTTTTGTGCTCACTATATTTCCAGATGGAATTAAAATGCATCAATACTGCCAGATTGAGTTCCTGCCAGAATTGGACCATTCCTTTTCAAAAAAAAAAAAAAAAAA